TTCAGCCTGTGGTTTAAGGCATGGCCAGCAGAGGAGTGCCAAGGGTGATTGATTCTGGTGTTCACTGGTCACTAAGGCATCACAGCACTTTGGATAACCAATAACTTGATCACCACTGTGTGTAAATAGAATAAAATTGTGACTGTAGAAAGCCTGTAATAGTCACCTGCAGCTCTTTGAAACTCCTTAAAGTTCGATTAATCATCTCCTGGCTCTGTTCTGCCAGCGTGGCTCCTTTTGAGTAGCAGTTGTCTCAAACACCTGACTGATGTTTCAGAGGTGGAAATGAAACAAGGAGCACCAGCAGAGACATGGGTGGTTTTTAACTACATTCATTAGGCTTATCATGGTGCTCTTTTTTGGATAGAGAATGGATAGAGAGAATGATTATGGAAGTCAGTCCTTATTTGCATGGTCACTCAGTGTTTTCTCCATGGAATATCTGCCCCACTACATGGGTCACCAAGGACTGCAAGCTTGTGTATGATACAGGTTAGGCCAGCCCTAAAAACTGCAGTTGTATCTCATTTGTTCAGAAATAGCACAGGTCCAACTTGAAGGATCTTAATTCACCCAGTGCTGGACAGAGCTCTGCTGTTCAGGAGGTGTTTGCAGATAGTAATCTCAATAAGATCAAATGGGATTTTACAGCAACTTCTAGATTAAAGGCTTTGCAATAGAAAAGCTCTAAAATAATTTCTTGTTTGAGCCCAGAGTGGGGTATTTAGTAAAGCAGGTTGAGAAAGATTTAAAGGGAAAGTACATCTTTCATTTGTAGTCTGGAAATGCAGAGCCAGTTGGAAGAACTGACCTGTCATATTCCCACTCCTTGGGAAAAATCTCTGGATGCAGCAGTTTTGTCAGCTCTGAGCTGTGACCCTGTATCCAAGGCAACTGTTTCTGGATGTTAGGTGGTAAGGAGTTAGAGAATAAGTGAGAGGCAGTTGTAAAATATACAGGTATGATTCTCAGGGGAAATAATGATGAAATGCTAACAGGTGGGAAAGGGTGGAAGGAAGCACCAGAACCCAAACATGGGATTCAGAGTAGGATGTTTGGTTCCTATATACATGTATAGTATGGTTTATGTGTCAGTCAAGACCAGCCAGGACAATGGGAGAGCTATGAAGTAAAGCAAGTGCAGAAAAGAGAGGAAGCAGGAAAACATTAAAATTGGTAGCTCTTTTTTTTTCTCCGTGTTCTGTAACCCCCATCTTTTAGCCTTTATGTTACAAGAACTTCTTTCCTTCTGGAAGCAGCATTCTGGTTATAGTTGTTTCTGTTGTTGTTTGTCTCTGTGGAACCATTTGTTTAAAAAGTTGTTTTCAGCCATTTTAGTTTCTTTTGATTTCCTTGAATATAACTACGTAATGGTTATATAGTGGTGTAGAGGTGATGCTGCTCTGATGATCTAAGTGCTGTTTCACTCTGGGATTTCAAATGACTGCTCCAGTGTGCTGACCTGCTGTGTGAGTGAAGTCCTATGGCTTATAAGGAGAACTAGGGTGGCTGAAAGAGGCAGGGACACATTATGCCCTTTCTTGTGTTGTTTTCTGTGACTTCCTTGTGTTCAGTTTTTGAAGTGACCAAAACTTTATTGCATCTCTGAGTAAATACGTATTTTACTGCAAAACTGTTACCCCCTTTAATCTCAAAATGTAGTGAGACAAGGTAATGCCAAAGTAATTTGACTGAGAGAAGAGCTCACAAGTACTAAAGCTGCTATTCCTTTCTGTCTTCTGGCATCAGCCACCTCTTACTCATAAGAAAGTGGGTAAAAGAAAAGAAAGCAAGAGCAACAGGAAGCATATGTCACAAGTTTGTCCATCTGTTCTACCTCTTGAATCCATCCCTAGCTTAAGTAATTTAAAGCTCCAGATGAGCAGAACTGTAACCACAAACCTGTTATGCAAGTCAGGATGAGGGTCTCATTAAATGCCAGCACTTAACCGTGAGAGGCTGCTGCTGAAGAGAGTTTTTTATCAGCTCATCTCTGCTAATTCTCTTCGGGGAGGAGAAATATCAACCAGCTGAAATTAATGCTGCCATAGAGCTTTTATCTGAGGTGCTGGGGCAGAATTGGCACGAGGGAGGTTCAGATATTGCTTCTGAGCCACACAAAGTCAACTCCAAGGCACCTGTGAAATATGTCTCAGGGCCATGAAAAGCACAAAGCCCTGTTGTGTTTTTCCCTGTACTGTGTTGGGAGCATAGGCAGTTCTGGATGAGTTTGCTCCATCCAGGCATCATGGTGCTCTGAGCCTTGGGCGGGGGCCAAGCTCAGAGATGAGGTACAGAACATCCCAGGACCAACTCCTCGTGCTGGGGGTGGCACCAAGGGACAAACACAGCTGGCAGGGGAAGACCCTGCACACAGAGCCCATGACTGCTTCCCTCAGCCAGCTGGTGACCCAAGGGATGTGTTTTAGTGGTGACTTGGCAGTGCTGGGGTAGCAGTTGGACTCAATGGTCTTAAAGGTCTTTTCCAACCTAAATGATTCAGTGTTTGCCTAGCCTCATTTTTTACCTGTTTTATGTTATTTCTTAGCATTTTCATTGCTGTGATGGGCCCTTTCACCTTGCCTAGCTACATACTGAATTTTGGAAGCATTTTGCTTCGGAAAAATTTTGATGAAACAAACAGCATCAAAAATATAAAACTTCATCACCTCTCTTGAATGATCACCAAAAAATAGTAAAAGGCTTCAGCACATTTACAGCTTGATCCAAACTGTTGCTATCTCTTTTTTTTTTTTTTCCTAATTAATAAATGTGTCTAGCCGTATGTGTGACAATAAACCCATTTATTTTGATGGTGATGTTCACATGCTTGCTGTGAAGCACATGTTTAAGTGCTTTGCTGACAAGGCACAGGCAAACAGATGCCTTCTCCATAACAAGTTGGCTGTGTATCCCTAGCTGGCAACCACAACAGGCTCCCCAGCTCCTTCTGAGGACCAGGCACTTTGGATATGCATCATTAAATGAGAGGACTCCTGCTACCAGGCAGCCCAATCCAGAGAACAGGTCCATCCCGCAGAGAAGAAGGAACTGAGAACTTCCCAGAGCCCATGGCAGGCTTTGTGGGGTCTGCTCAAAGGTGGTCTTGTTAACACTGCAAAGTGGAGAGAAGACAGTGGGTCCAGAAAGCAATGACCTCTTTGGTAATATTTTCTGGTAATACTAAGCAAGTTTTTCACTGACTTTTACACAAAACACTCTTTTTACAGTGATGCTTGTGATCATAAAATCAGAGAATGGTTTGGGTTGGAAGGGACCTGGAAGGTTATCTGTTCACATGGGCAGGGACACCTTTCACTAGATCAGGTTACTCACATTATGAGGTATGGGCTGACTTGCTGGCACACAGCTGTTTCTGATCCTGCCAAATCTGTTGTGAAAGTAGGACCACCTCTTCTCTCATTCATCTTCATGTCACTGAAAAGATATGTCTGAGTTTACTTGTCATGAGCATTTACATTCTTCTGTCAACCAATGGGAAATTCTCTATCAACAAAGTAGGAAAGGAACACAGATAAACTAGCCAGAAAAATTCAGCCATTGCCAAAATAGATCAAGAGATTTCAAGCAGCAATCTCAACTCATTGTATATAGGCAGTATTATCCTGTTGCTGTTTATAAAGGTGTGAGTGGTAATAAACTGGATTTAATTATTTCATTATGCTCTGTAATTATTTCATTATGCTCTGTAATTATTTCATTATGCTCTATACTTTTCCTTCACAAACTTCTGTTTATATTGTCTGGTCTTGATATTTACCTCCTTGAATATGTTGCTTGCTGGGTATTTTGGTGGAACAATACAGCAATGAAATTTTGGTATGTGGATTTTTCACAAAACTTTCATTTAGATTAGATGTGGTCATTTATTCATGGGACATAAGCAGTCACCTCAATCCTGTCAATGTTTTTTGCCTGAGCCACCAAGTGTTTTCACAGGGAAGAATAGCAGAAAAAAGCCAATACCTGCAGAACTGAGTTTCAGAAGACTCTTCTTGAGATAGGATGTGAAATGTATGTAATCTTTTTCATAATATAACTGGTATCATCAAATGACATGGAGTAAACTTACTGTATTTATTTGCATGCAAATTTAAGTACAGTTTTGCTGTTATTTAACCATCTGTTAGCTACAAGGCATTTCTGCTTACTTTTAAAACTTCGTGTATGAGTAATGCTATAATAATAAGTAATATTACAATAAGTAATTCATATGAAGAAGAGTTGAATTAATATTGTTGCTGGATCTTCCCAGAGTTTTTATATTCTGATTTTTCTGTTCAACTCTGTGCAGCAGTGTTTTTCCCAGCTGTAATTATCCATCTGCAAGTTCCCAGTGCCCCCAGTCTGCCAGGCAGCACTGCGGCGTGATGGCTTTTCCTTCCTTCTGTGATGACACCAGGTGGGCTAGTCACAGCTGGGATTTGGAAAAGGCTTGAAAGTGCTGTTATTTTTAAAACAGTATTCAATATTTGGGAGATGGTTTGGGGTTTTTTTTTCTGTTACACAACCTGAAAACTTCTATCTTCTCAGTGGGAATGTTATAATCAGACCCCTATAACAAAAATGTTACACTGTGTTACAGCTTGTGAGCAGAGAACTTAAATTTTCCATCAGGTCATGATGGCTGACACATGTGGGAGCAGGGAAATGGCCTCTTCACCTCATCCCACCTTGAAAAGGTTTGGGCTCAGTGAGTCTTCCACCTGCGTTTCAAGTGGTGTTGCTCTGTTAATACAGATAATAATCCTTTCGTCTTGCAAGGATTTTTTTGCTCACTTTTGAGTTTTAGTCATCTTATTGACCTTTTGGTGCCTTCTTCCTTCTTCACCAAACTCGGTTTCGTGTTGGCCTAAGCTGACTTATAGATAGCACTCCTTTTGTCCAGTGAGATGGGAGCCTTGTTAAGGTACATGTATCGTGAGCTTACTCACAAAAACCTGTGTTATTAACGTTGCCCATTTATCTCCACACCATAGGTTTTGGAATGACCACACCAGCAACAGTGGCTGGAAAAGTGTTCCTCATCGTCTATGGCCTTTTTGGGTGTGCTGGGACTATCCTCTTCTTCAACCTCTTCTTGGAGCGCATCATCTCCCTCCTGGCATTTATCATGAAGGCGTGCTATGAGAGGCAGCTGCGAAGGAGTGGTCTCCTACCTCCCAACTTCCGAAGGGGGCCAGCCGTGTCCGGGGTGGGCAGCCTCGTGGGCTGGAAGCCGTCTGTTTACCACGTCATGCTGATCCTGGGAATTTTTGCTATCGCCCTTTCCTGCTGCGCCTCCGCCATGTACACGGCAGTGGAAGGATGGAACTACGTTGACTCCTTGTATTATTGCTTTGTCACCTTCAGCACCATCGGCTTTGGAGATTTGGTAAGCAACCAAAACGCTGTGTACCAGCATCAGGGATTATACAGATTCGGGAACTTCATGTTTATATTAATGGGAGTATGTTGCATATACTCCCTTTTTAATGTCATCTCAATCGTAATCAAACAAATTTTGAACTGGGTGTTGAAAAAATTCGAATGCAGATGTTGCCCAAAGTGCCATAAATCCAGTACCCGCCTCAGCCGTCGCAATGCCATCACCCCAGGAGCCCGCCTGCGCCGCCACAACGTCGCCATGGACGCTGACGGACAGTACGACAGTGACACCGAGGGCAGGAGGCTCTCTGGAGAGATGATCTCCATGAGGGAGCTCACGGCGTCCAGTAAAGTCTCCCTGGCCATTCTGCAGAAGCAGTTGTCCGAGACAGCCAACGGCTACCCGAGGAATGTCTGCATCAATACGAGACAGAACGGTTTCTCTGCGGGGGTGGGGGCTCTGGCCATCATGAACAACCGCTTGGCAGAAACAAGTGATTCTAGGTAGAGTTTTTGGAATTCTGTTTGTTTCTTAAATAAAAATAAAATGGCGGTTGGGGTGGAGTTACCGCTGTAAGCTACTGGAAAGTTTTACATTTCAGAGACAGCCTTGGTATTCATTGGGTGTTCAGCATTTTACTTTCTGGGGGTTTTATAAGTTTTCTCTAATATGCAGTGAGATCTTTACCATTATGTTACAGTTTTCCCCTAAGGGGGTTTTAAATGAGACTTGGATGTCTTTGATGCAGAATCTGGTGCAATTACAGAAGGATGGTGTAAATGGCTAGGATGGTGTCAAAACCAAGATGTTCTTCTTCAGAGCAGCGCCTGAACCCAAACTCTGTGTTAAAAGACATAAAGCAGGCAAGTTGCGCTCCAGATTCAAACATGGGGTTGGTAAGTTTTGGCTAACCAGTATCTCACAGTTTGCTGAAGTCTGGATCCGGTCCTGAGCCTTGTACTCAATGCTCTTCAACAGTTCCTCGTAGCAGGCCTCTGTATGACATACACGTAGGTGACTGTTGTCACACCAGCTCTAGGGTGGCTGTGCTTCACTTCAGTAATCCCACTGACTTCAGTGGCAGAGGATGGAATGGGCTGAACTCCCCTCCTACAAATGATGGGGTTTAGCCAGGCTTGTCTGGAAGACCACCTGCCACCTAACTCTTAAAAGTCAGGGGATTATCAAGGACCGTGTTAAAGTGTGCAGGACTGCTCCTACCTACTGAATAACAGAAAACAGGCAATTGTCATCTTCAGAACTGACTTTGTTTAATGCAAGAGAAGCTGGTATGCACCTCTGGTGTCAAATGTTTGCATCACCACAAAAATGCTTACTTCCTTACTTTCTCATTGAAAGTCACTAAAATGAATGTAGGCTCTCTTTTGTCCTAAATTTGCATCCTCTGCAGTGTTGTTGCAGAGATTCATGCAAATCATCTCCTTGCAATTCTCTGAGGGCCCCAACCCTGTAGTTGTTTCCCACAGATCTGACTGTGCAGGTTGTACAGAAGAAGAGCATTGCTTTGGAGTTCCCTCAGAAGCCGGCTTCCCCCAAAATGTTGAGACCAAGTCATTAAGTGGCCTTTGGCTGTTGCTGCTACCATCTTAAGCCATATTAAACCTGTGCTAGCCCAAACCACTGAAGAGCCAAAAGCAAACCTGGTCTAGAGTGTGTAGTTTAGCATGACAAGTGGGTGCAGAGCATTTGCTGCAAACCTCTTCCAAAAATGCATGCACAGCTCTGGATCATTTCTCTAAATTCTCTCTGCTATACTGTGAAGATAATAAAAAGGCTTCTGCTGATCCCAAGCAAGTAATAAAACTTAAGCTTATATTCTGAGAAGCCTTCTCTTGGAAACTTACTGGAAAGTTGTAGGCAAGACCATGAGTAGTAGGTTGGTCACTGAATAAATTGAACAAGCTGATGAACAAAAAACTAGGAATATTAGAAATGTTTGAAAATATTTCCATGAAGTTTTATATAGATATTTTACTCTATTTACTTTGTTTTGCATGGGTTTGGAGTAGCCATCATTTTTGCTTTCTTTTAAATTTGTAGCAGTGCAAAATGTTTTGGAATTTACCCTTGGAAAACCAGCTTTAAATTTGAGATTTTGCACACCTGAGCCTGCCAGCTGAATTATGGCGATGAATGTATCTTTTTTCCTGATGAAAAGAAACCAGAGCTGCAGATAAACCATCACACATGGGTCTGTATCACACTGTAAATGTCACAGCTTTTATCAAAATGTGTTTGGCCAGAAACAAGCAGTGATGATTGTAATGTGTTTCCAGCTGGCACAGACCCACACTTAAGGTTCTGTGATATGGTAGGGGCTGCATCCAAGAGGCAGGAGCTTTCTTGGTGGTAGAGAGGCTCCTCAAGGTCCATCTGTCCCAGTGTCTTCCTGTCTGTGCACTCCTCCTCTTTAAGGAGGCAGGAAGAGGTGTTTGGTGCTCCTTTTGAAGGCCACTGAAGGATAAATTCAGGCAGGATGTACAGGGACAGGTCATGGTCTGGAAAAGACTCTGACTGCTGGAAGACCCAGTTCAGGCAGATGCCTTCCAGAGATGCAAGGGAAACAGCACAGGCAGGGAACCAAAAGAATGAAAATTTGTTATTTCCCCTTGGGATTACCCCCACGGGTAAATCTCTTACTATGATGATTTATGTGTTTGTTTATTAAAAGTGTGAATGGGACCCTGCTCTTTTTTTGCAGCTCAACCTCTCTTAAGGTGTCTTGGTGCATTTGTCATCATGGAGACTATTACTCATTAGAACTATTACATAAATAAGGGTAGGCAGGCTCTGTCCCAAAGGACTTAGGAATTTGAACTGATAGGGCCCCAAGCCACAGCAGAATTACCTGTTTATTATTTTGCTCATAAAAGCATGCTCAAATGTATCAACATTCTGTGAGCTCAAGAACTCTTATTTTTATGGTAGCAAATTTGCAAATTTTTTTCAGTGAGTTGTTTTAAAGGATGAATATTATAACCATAATTAGGATCCTTTTTAAACTGTAAATTTGTGAATTGTTTTCAAACTTCTTATTCCAGCCTGGAAAATACAGTGAAACAATATGAAGTTGTACATACCTCCTCTGTACTTTTCCTGAGTCCAGGCAAAGGCAGGCACACAGTCTGCTGTAACATGATTGAAATGCTTCCAAGTCTTTCTGGTACCATCAGTCACTGCGGTGCCTTTGCAGGACCCCTTGCAGTTCCTGTTAACTCCAGAGGAAGCTGGACCAGCTCCTGGAGCTGGGCATCTCAAGGAATTTGGGCATCAGATTGCTGCTCTGTTCACTCAGATCTAATGTTTACTTACACCCAAGGTCCTTGATAATCTCCATTCTGCCTCCCTCCAGCCTCAGAGGAAGTGCATGCCCAGTTATTTACCAGTGGCCGTGTTGCTTGCGGGCCTCATATCCCCAGATGGTGACAAAAGTCAACCACAGGGGCCACCAGGTCATATCCAAGTCCTGTAAAAATCCCCAAACCCATCTGGCTCAGCAAAGCTCAGTTTATAGGAGGGTCAGAGCACACTTACTGACCTGTGTCTCACTGGGAAGCATCTGCTGAAGGGTGACCTTACCCTTCAGTTCCCTCATATTCAGTAGCAGAAGTGTTTTTCAAGGATGCATGGAAACCCAGCTCCAAATCTCTACTCTTCAGCCTGCCAGCCCTTCCTGGGCACCCATCACCCCTGTGCATGAAAACACAAGCCAGGAGGACATAGGAGGTTCAAGATCAGTTTTTCCTAGTCCCTTGTGCTCTTTCTTTAGCTTTTTTTTTAATGACAACTCCTCTTTGAACTTGCCAGGCTTGGGCACCTGACTCCTTTTCCATTGTGCATGGATTCCCCAGGGCAGCCTGCTCCATTGGTGAATTTACCCCTAAACATGCACCAGTTGCACCAAGTGCAATTCCTCCTGGTATTTCATTTCCACAGACAAAGCAGATACCAGCAATACCTGGACAAAGACTGAAGCACAAGAAATCAAAAGGAACCGAGAGGAACAGAGTGGGAAAGTGAAAGCACACTGCACTAGACTGCACTTTCTTTTCAAGTAACTTGGGAGCTGTATTACATTCTTGAAATGGGTTGGTTTTTTTATTAAAATTTAATTATGGGTAGCCTTGAAAGAATACAGTTGACTTAGATTTTAAAAGCTCATCTTCCCGGGTACACCCACCTCTGCACCCTGTAGAGCAGCAGTAGTAACTCTTCACTGACACAGACCAAGACATCCCAGCTGCCTGCTGAGCCTGCAGGCAGCACAGACCTAAGCTCAGACCCTGTCCCCCAGATTGGTCTGCTGCTGCCTGAGCCCAGGGAAGAGCATTCAGGAGCAGCAGAAGGCTGCAGGAATTAGGACTCCTCTGTGAGCTGGCCCCTGGTGAGAACAGCAGTGGCACAGGTGTGAGCTGCTTGGACAAAGGAGGTAGCACATGTGCCTGGCACCTGCACTAATGCCCCGCAGATGAAAATTAAAACTTAGGTGAAAATTGATGGGCAACAATGACCAAATTCGAGTGACATCTTCTCTTAACCCCGGAGGTCAGCACAGAGCAGTCACAAGGAATAATTTCTTGTGAAACCTGTAGCATTTGGCAAGTCACTGCATTGACCTCTCTCAGGGTCTGTCTTCCCTGTGTGTGTCTTGGACAAAGTTTGGAGTCACACCAATATGTCATCTGGTTGTCATTGGTTTCTTCCCATCTGAAAACACTGTTCTCCTTCTGAAAAAAATTCAAATGGCTCTTTATTTCCTTGTAGTGCAGAGGATGCCCTTCAGACCACGTAGATGTTCAGAGCAATCTCAGCCACAGAGGCAGTGTCTGAGGGACAAGGCTGTGCTTTGCCTCCCTGCAGAGGCAGCATTGCACAGCAGTGCATCCAAAGGCTCTTTAGGCAGTTACCAGCTCTGATTGCAACCAGAATTGCTGGTGGAAGACAGGAATCCCACTAAAGCTCTCTGGGAGTGCCCTGTGCCATGCTAGGTTACCCAGAAATGCCCCTGTTGGTGTAGTGCTGCTGTCCCAGCACAACTTCAGCCCTGGCCCTCAGTTTTTTCTCCTCCCCAGCTTTCTGTGGGTGAAAATTTGAGTATACTGTGACCATTTACCCATATTTCAGTCATGCCTTGCTGTTGAAAGACTTCAGCAGCAATGGAGGTCATATAGCCAGGCATGTGGGCTCCGTATAAACCTGATTGCCTGTGTGGGATGAATTTATGACTATATGGAAATTAGCTGTAGCAATGAGACAATTCTCACATTTTAGTATTTTTCTAGCCTTTAACTTGAAAAATATTCAGTGGCAAATCATTGCAGTGAATGTTCAGAGCTAATCTCAACAAAATCATACTTTGCTGATTGCTAGCCTAGCAAATCTGTGGGTATGGCTGCTGCTCTAATTGGATTACTAATGTGCCTTTGCAAACCAACACACGTCTGCAGTGTTACATTTAAATAATACAATAAATGCTGTGTTACATA